GCATACAATGTTATGACTTAAAGCAACAGTCCAGGCAGGGTTTCAACCATTTGGTTTTCAAGTGGTGGAAACATGCCTCAGCCTGATGGAGTTCATGGGAAATGTCACAAACTTCAAAACTTACCTCTGAAAGGCGTTGGAAGCAGTCGAAATCCTTCAAGAGGGGCGGATCCACCGATCCGTGGTGGGGCCGCCTCCAAGCAGCTGTGCAGAGCGCTTGCTCGACTAGCGGTCGTTGCGGGACCGCCGCGCTGTATGAGGTCGATTCTATAAGAACGCAACTGACGCGCTTCAATTACGATTGCTGGCAAATAGCCATGTATTTGCAAGCATGCATGGCTATTTGCCAGCAGTTTTGCAATTGGAGCGCATGTACTGCGGCAGGTTCGGACAAACTTCGTCCAACTCGTCCAACACACGTCTCCCCCATCGCTAAACGGCAGGGGGAGTCCCTGTCTAAGCCCCTGCCCGACGTTTTTTTCTACTTTTTCTTTCTCCATTGACCAACTTCTCACCTGCAACGTCATTATAGGTGGTCCTTACCCGCGAATTCGTTCCTGGATTGTTGCTTTAAGAAGTTGAGCGGGAAATGATACAGTAAACCGAGCTGAGAAATGCCGTCGCTTAGTTTCAACGCGCCGTCGCAGCCCGAACTTCCTGACCCACACCCTATCTCTCAACAACAATCAAACGTTAACAAGACCGGAGCACTGGGTGAGACAGAAGTACAAAACTATTAGGCAGCCTTTTGACACGCCAAAAAGTATAGTGAAAAACAAAACCCGAGGACTAGCATACTTGTTCGCAGATATTCGAAACACGGATAGACCACAAGTCGAAACGGCTGATTGACACAAAGAGTTTGCTGACAATCGGTTCTATCTCCGGCGAGCGCGGCAGATGGTCGTGGAATAGCACGCGGTAAGTGATTATACAGTACCCTTATAGAGCAATAGTCGACCCAGTTCCTTACAGCACAGTCTCATCTCTTGATAGAAGGCAGACAGTGCAAAAATTTGATCGCTCGCTTGGAACGAAAGCAGAGCTATTAAGAAATGCAGCAATGAAGAAAAAATCAAGGGAAATGGTTTGAAACCCACAAAACGGCCCCTTCTTTTCCCTGTGGGGTTCCGCGTAGGCCGAGTCTTGCTGCGAAGGGTGTGCCCTAGGCCACGGGCACACTTCGCAGCAGAACGCGTACCACTTCATTTAGAAGACCTGCTTTCCTTCATAGTGGATACACTTCCCTTTGGTTGACCTGCGATTTATAATATTACCTGTCTTCAAACCGATCAGGATTTCCAGAAGCAAAGGCGGTATGATGTTAATGGAATTGGAGCAGGTGGACGGAAAACTTCGCTTATTCGACATTCGGGTCGGTAGTGGAGCAACAATTTGTGCGGGTAAGTTTAGTTAGAGGTCACTGGTATGATAGCACTCACCTTTCCTTAACACGTTGACGACAACGCGAGTTTTGGCTTTTTTGGCCACGTGGGACCGCGGCGATTTTGCGGGCGCGCTCGCCTCAGGTCGTTCAAGCAGATTTTGAGTGATAAATACACAAATAATGATCAATACAACCAATCAGTAAATTGTAATGAGCACAACCTACCAGGGGTACAGTAGTGGAATTTCGATCGAAAGACATGGAATAACAATGAAAAAGCGAAATTTGTCAGAACTAGCGACGGGAATGCTCAATATGGTTCTTGGAGTGCCTTCACTAGAAACTCTTTCTGGCCTTCTGCTTATTGCATTCACATCTTACACTTCTACTCCATCCTATTCTATCGATCGATTTGTCTCTACTCTCCGAAATCGCGCGCTTTAACCCGATTCTTTCATTGCGTCGCCTGATACGTAGCCGCCCCAAGGCGGACTTCTTTCCATGCCCGCCTTTGGCTCCGCGCCACTTACCTTCGATTGTCCATAGAGTGTGGTTTTTGTAAGTTTTTCTCTTCGGAAACTGAATCTTTGTGCGTGAAACTTTGTATGTTGTCTCTAGTGATCACAACTGACATAAATAGGGGTGTTAGGAAAGAATGCAAGATTTTAACAGGAATGATTCCTTTAACAGAGCTATTTCCATTCTGGCGTGTTTAATGACACCTTTGGGCAGGGTGCAAATCGGTCGAGGAATCGTCGACTACTCGTTGAAGATTCTCGCGTGTTCAGTCACACCCTCTCGCGCGGACATGCACTCTTGCCACGCGCGAGCCATTTACCCACTCCACGCGCGAGACATTTACCCTCGCGTAAGTTTACTCTCGTCGCCTTTCTTACACAGTATAGAGCCATGGTCGAGGATTTCCTAGACCATTATCCACTCTTCTTTGGGTAAAGGGCCTGCACAACTTATTATGTGATACCTGGTTAGGCTTTCAGTGGAGCATCTTTATGAGTCGATTCAATGTCCATTTCTTAACACAGACAAGTAATGGGCGCGGTGCTTACCTTATGGTAAGCTTCGCACGCCTATTGTGTGGGTAGATTTTGAGTTATAGTTATTGCATTGTCATGTGGTAGCACAGGAAAGGGAATAAAACCCTTCTGCTTATTGACATGGCGAGAATATCTCAATTTCAGAAATCGAACGCTATGAAACACTTGGTTTGGCACCCGTACACGCAGCCATGGCAGGACATGACCACTCTTTCTACGTTCGAACGACTAGTAACGCCATTTGGAAGGCTGGCCTATACTGGGCGAATTCTAAGCATCATGTCCATACAAGAGGTTTGTGTTCAGTGTACTTCGAGCACTTTTCAGAAACCGCAGGTCCGGCTCGGCCTCAACCGAGGCTGTCGTTCCCAAAGTAGGATACTGATGTTGAAGAAGGATAATGTCCTGCTGTAAAACGAAGCAGGGCTCTATGGATGAGATGGGCACTTTCGTGTACAAAGAGTGCGCTCCGACGCTCAGTGCAGGCTTTACCATCGCCTCTCGTCGCTCTCGTGCTCTGCATACATCCGATGGGCGGCTGGCTTCTGTTAGAGGTTGTGTATGTTGATGACGACACTGCGAAATCGTGCGACCGGTAAGAATGGAAGTAGCCCTTAGTAGATTTCTCGGACGGCTCCGCTATTATGAGGCAGCAGTAAATTTGTTTGCTCGCCCACTGAAGGAGGCCGCTTTTCGGCAAAGAACTCTTGAGCTCACGATAAGAACTAAATCAACGCAAAATCGCATTTGTTTCGTAAATAATTCGAAAACCGGAATGACTGCTACGCGTTCAAATCCCCGCCGGACATCTGTCACAAATGCTGGCGGCCTTCCACTTGGTTCTCGGAGTGCCGTCACTAGAAACTCTTTCTGGCCTTTTGACTTATTGCATTAACATCTCACACTTCTATCGATCGTTTTGTATCTTCTCTACAAAATCGCACGCTTTAATCCGACTCTTCCAATGCGTGGCCAAGGTAAGTCGCGCTGGGCCGAAGGCGGGGTGTGGAAAGAAGTGGCGCACTTCTTTCCATGCCCTGCCTTTGGCTCCGCGCGACTTACCTTCGACTGTCCATAGAGTGTGGTTTTCGTAAGTTTGTTTCTCTTCGGAAACTGAATCTTCGTGCGTGAAACTTTGTATGTTGTCTCTAGTTATCGCAAGTGACATATTCAAGTTGGGAAAGACAAAGGATTCCTTCAAGCTCAGTAGCCATTCATATGTCATTTCAGGTCGAGTACATGCGTCCAGAAGGTTGTCCGTTTGCAGTGCAGGAAGGGCGTGAACTCAGTGCCATCATAAGTGCACCACGTCTGATGAAGCAGATTTATCGGAATGGTCGCCTTTGGATCGTTACCGAAAAAATAGCACACATGGGGAAAGCCGTCAGCCTCTGGACGATAAGCAGTGGAAAGTAAGTCACTTAAAGCGGTGGGGTCAAGATATCCCGATTGCTTCGGCGCTCAGAAACATCGTTACCACACATACGGTAGCGTTATGAGTCACAACCGCTTGAAATACAAATGCCGCTTTGCGACGCTTCCATTGCTGCACCGCCGCAATCGGGACCATCTGGCTCACACCCCCTTCTGTCCTAGTATTTTGAAGCAACAGTTGACTGCTATCGGCAAAACAAGGGAGGACAAACCGGGTTGAAGTTCCTTAAACAGGGCTTTCACTCTTCTTTTTGAAATGAGGGAAGTGCTGTCCGACACCAAGATTGTCCGATTTGTGTTTGTCTTTAATTCTTTGTTTGGCTCGTTGCCGGCTGTAATCGCATTGCTAACAGACACAGTATCGGACAGTAATACAACAAATAAATACACCCAAATTAAATTTGATTTACATCGGTGAAACTCGGGTCCGGGGTGTGGCAATTCCAGCCTGAGGAGCGCAACCGAACAGAGCGCCGCGCCCATCGGTGCCCCCCCCCTGCCCGAGTTTCACCATTTATCTAGTCAATAGCACAAGATCGCAGCAATGGCTTCGAACGCGATAGTCGACGACAATCTGCGCAAAGGACCCGTCAATCCAAGCAGGCCTCATCTATGTGCTGAAGCGGGCCGCCGTACCGAAGCTCGTATCCCGCCCCTTGAAGGCGGATAGACCCCCTTCATCACCGGTTTTAAAGGCAACGTTTCAAACCCCTTGAAGCGAGTAGACCTCTTTCAACCGTTTTTGAACAAGCACGTTTTCAAACTCCGCCCTTTGAAAGGCGAATAGAACTTCCACCGTCTTTTAAGGCACACGTTTTCAAACCCCTTTGAAGCGATACCGCTTCCACCCGTCTTTTTAAAAGGGCCACGTTTCTCAAACCCTTTGATAGGCGATAGACCTTCCTACTCGTCTTTGCCAGCCCGCTTTTTCAAACGACTCTTGAAGGCGATAGACCCCTCTTCCAACCGTCTTTTAAAGCTGACGTTTTTTCAAACCCCCTTTGAAGGCGATAGCCACCCCCTTCCATTCGTCTTTTAACGCACGTTTTCAAACCCCTTTGAAGCTAGACCCCCCTTCCACCGTCCTATTACGTGCAAGCTTTCAAATCAGCGACATTTCCTGTGCACTCAACAAGGGCCAGTGCATGTTTCCACCCCTTAGGATCGAATGGTTGAAACCCTGCTGGGACTGTTGCTTTAAAAATAAACCTGGTCCTTATACTCGAAACGCACTTTTCCAACGCCAACTATGAAATTCCTAGTTTAAGGGGGACAAGTTGTCATTCATACGTGATTCAGATGGCAATATGTGATGGAGCTGGAAGCCAACTATCGAGATATAACAATGGATGTGAATGAAAACGACACAGCTATCATACTCATCAAGTCCTCCAATACTGATGGTATGAGCTTGAATGTGCGCATCAAAAGCCTAGTCATGCTTCGACTTGGGTGAGTTTTCAAGAAACGAACTTAATAAATTGTCTATGCCATGGAATGTCGAATCCGTGTTCCACCTATTATGCACAATCGAAGAAGCACTTCAATTGAGGAAATTTTTTAGAGGTTTACAATAAAAGCGAAAGCAAAATCATCCGGCGTTAAATCCTTGTCTGGGATGTGCCACGCATTGCACGTCCTTTCGGAACCACCGTAGCTTTTTGAATGTAGCCTCTCATTTACAATGTTACTGCGGGTTCTCGCAAGACCCAGCATCGATATCTCTCAATTAATGAACACCAGAGAAGGGAAGACTTTTTCCATGGAGCGGTTGTCGCTATTCAATATTTGTTCTGGTGCGAGCACAGTGGTGAGCGCCCACTTGCTACTAGATTACCTCCGCCCCACGTTGGACATGGGTTTGCCGCAGTCAACCCTGCGTTGCGCAGTTTTCAACGGCCACGTTGCGCAGTTTCGCCCGATTAGACACGTTCTCTCGCGCGAACATTCACACTCGCATGCTCGAGCCGTCTGTGTCTCCGCCCATACAGCGTGCGTTGAGGATCTCTCAACGTGCCGTTGCGAACTGCGCAACGCAGGGTTGACTCTGGTTGCCATCTATGTATGGCTTATCTATCTATGCCTTCTCGCCGCGATATCCGTACTTTCATTTGAAATGCGAAGTATTTTTCCATCATATGTCTCGTACATTCCAACACCCACCTATGGTTGGTTGATTTCCAGCCCACGCCTCCATGAGAGTTACTAGTAAAGCACGCCAACAAACAAAAACAAAATAGTGCGCAGGATGTGGGGACATTGTGGTATCAATGCATCCAAAATGCGCTAAAGATCTTTTCTGGCAAAAGTAGCATAAGCCTACATAGGTGAGGGAAGAGCGACTCCAGGGTGCATGAGCAAGTTTGATTCTGCCCAGTGTTCTCACACCCTATGAGGCTCAATCAAAAGGATCCCTGTACATATCTAGCGCACAAAGCATACAGAAAGAATGTTCAGACATGAAGCTTAAAATGCTAACAGTACCGTGTAACAGAAAGAATATTCAGATCGTGAAGCTCAAAATGCTAACAGTACCTGTGCACTCGATCTCGACCCTCCTCCTTCAGTGGTTTTGGTGGTCTTCTTTCCTGAGTGCCTACTGATTACCCCGCAACAACAAATTATTCATTCGTCCGAGCTACAGCAAAAAAAAAACAGTGGGACTGGCTCGCTTTCGTCGATTAGTACCCATCACCCCTAAAGCAGCTGGAGCAGTCCGTTGTCCAGTCCAACTCCCGATTAGCCAGTCCAAGAGGATTGTAAATTTTTTGGAGTTTATCTGATATCGCATTTCTCTTACCATCACTGTTAACAACTACTAGTACAGGAGCGGTAGCCGCAGTATGCACGGATTTTTGGGGGATATTTTTGTGTGAAACCCCGGCATTATTGTTCATTCTTAACATGGTGCAGTCACTACCGCGTTTCGTTCACTTCTTCTTTTCTTGCAGTGCTTCTATGGAAATCACCAACTTATGCCCAGCTCACCGTATTTCCTGCAATTTTATTAAAACGTCTTTTTCAGAGATGCGCCCAAGCTGACCACAATCGCACTTCTTAGCCACCTCAACAGCTCAAACAACGTGGGTATTGACGATCACCTCTGCCGGATGTTGGAGAATTCGTCTTGGCACTAAAAATAAATTAGCAATTGAAAATAAACTCCTGTTTGTGCTTGCAACTTCTGCACACATAGACATCACAAATTTCGGCTTCGAAGGCAGCAAGATTCCGATAATAACAAAATTCGATAGAAGTAGCAAATTATCAAGGGACTGGACGCTAAGACCGGACGAATAAGGAAGGACTGGGTGATTCATAAATCGATATGCCGTTGTAGGATTTCAATACCAAGGGGTTACGTCGTTCGGTATCCTCCCCATGAACTCACGCTTGGAACATTCATGAGATAGTGCAACTTACTTAACTCAAGTTTGTTTAAAGGCAGAATTACGATGAAAAGTTAGCTCATTGGAAATAAGGGTAGAGGTGGTCAGTGGAGCAGGGATGAAGAAGAAACCATTTGAAACGGCCCGAAACCCGAGAAATGGGACCCCTTCCTTGCCCGTTGATTTGCGCATTGATGCGACTCTCATCGCTGTGCCCTCTTCAACACTACGCTCTCTCTGCTATCTAATCACTCGCCACGTATAGACCTGCGGCGAGTGATTAGATAGTCGGTGGGCGTACCCCGCCAACCGCGCCAAGAGTGAGCCATGCTAGATCGCCGAGGTCAAATCTTTCGCTGCCAATTGCGCGTCGGTCAGCACCCTCAGGAGGTCCGCCTGTCTCCCAACTATGCAATTTTCCCCTTCTTTGACCTTCTATCGTGAACTCCTCCTCTAAGGGTGACTATTCGGAGACTCTTGTGCTTAAGAGTAAGCTGTTGTAGTCTCTTCTTCCAAGTCTGTTGAAGGTTCGGTTGATCTGGTAACCTGTGACAATAAAAAAACATCAGTGAAGTGACAACATGGGAACTGGGGAAAAAACTAAATAAAAAATACTAAAAGAGAATAATAGAGAGATGTAGTAAGAAACCAGGAAGTCTCACGGTTCTAGGTGATCATCGAGAAACTTTTTAAAAGCGCCTGTGGTGAGCGGAATGCTCTTCTTTCGGCTTAACATTGAGTAGATTGGGTAAACACGATTTATAAAAAACTGTGACCTGCAAGTAAGTCGACTTCTAGTTATGATAAACTCATTGACGACAGCGCGGCATTCATGCATGGCGCTTTTGCGAGACACGTGGGACGCCGTGGCATCTGTGTATGCCGCACCAATTGAACCAATTTTCGCGCATGCGCAAAATCTA